CAGTGGCCACTCAGAGACAGAGCAGATGCCAAGCCTCAGGAGGAAGAGCTGAGACTTTGCTGTGCTCGGACTGTGAAGGCGTAACAGCCATGGGCTTCAAGGTTCCTCCCTGGAGGCACTGGCTCAAGCTGTTTCTGTGTTCCTGTGCCGCAAATAAATTGTTTTGTGGAATGAGACATGTGAGACTTTGCTGTGGGAAACCTGGTCTGACTGTGTGAGAGTGGGGGGAGTGCAGGGAGTCACTGGGGGTACTAGTGGCTCACCTGAGCCACCCACTGCAAAGGGGATTTGGTCCCAACAGGAACAGTCTGGTGATGGGAGTGTGACTGCCAGAGTGCCTGGGGGTGCTCAGACAGGGACGTTTCCTTAACAACAGGGCTGCCTGAGAGCTGGAGCAGAGCCCAGGTCGTGCACCTGCTGGGCTCTGCCCATAAGAAACAGGGAAAGGTGCAGCAGAATGCCCTGGTGTGGGGAAGGCTACTAGGCAGGAAAGGAAATGGAACAAGTTAAACCACACCCCAGTTTTGTCCGATCGCTCTGTGTGCTCATCCTCTTGGACTTGGCCTCAGCATTTGAGCAGGTGCAGAGCGCTAGGAAAGGGAGGGCAAGGCAAGGCAAAGGCAACACCATGGTGGAAGACTTGTCTCGTGGCTTGGCTCTCTCTGGAGAAAAGCCTAAGGTGTAATTATTGACAGTTCCCACTGGATGGCTCCCGAAGCCCAGCGGGGACGGCAATGCTGAGCACAGCCGGCAGCTTCGATTCAGCTCCAGCCGTTCTCTCCCGTGTTACCAACCACAACAGAATGATAACCTTAGCCCAGAGCCAGGGAGGATGAACATTCCCACGGGATTGCACGCACCAGGGAGGGTTTTTATAAAATGTGCCTGTGAGTGCATGGGTAGGAGCTCTGAGACCAAACTGTGGCCACAGCTGTTAAAGAAATACAAGAGATGCTCACAACAACTTTGTTTTAACACACTCTGCTCAGATCTTTTGTTATCTCAATTCTTTGTGCCCCAGTTGAGCACCAAGGACTGTCGTGCCTGAACCCCAGCCGGGAACTCAATCCCACACAGCTGCTTGCTGCTCTGGTGAGATGGGGGAGAGAATCCAGAAATGGTAAAGAATAGTTAAATAACTGAAACAAGACTAAATATATTGACATTACTGCTGCTACTACTATTAATAGTAATGGGAAGGAGAGAGAACAGAATAAAACCTGAGAGAAACCAGCAGTGCCCAGAAGTCGCTCATCACCCACTGACCAATGCCCAGCCTGTTCCCCAGTAGCAATCGGTGGCTCTTGGCCAACCCCCTCCCTGTTTCTGGACTGGGCAAGAGGTTCGGTGGTCCAGAATATCCCTCTGGCTGGTTTGAGTTGGGTCTCCTGGTCATGCTCCCCCTTGCTGGCAGAGCACGGGACACTGAAAAGTCTTGACTTGGAGTGAGCTCAACAGGGCTCCAACTCAGCGTGTTACAAACGTTGCTCTCACTTTGAATCCCCAACACAGCACTGGAGCAGCTTCTGGGGAGAAAATTATCTCTCTCCCAATTAAAACCAAGACATCCAGCAGCCCCCAGTGAAAAACCCTCCCTGTGAGCCCTGACCGCTGCAGTCCCCACCTCCCTCAGTCACCCTTCAGTTCTCCCCAGAACCCCTTGAGCCCCCTGCCCCACCAACGGCCCCTGTGACCCCCAGAACACTCCAGCCATGCCCTGTCTCCCCCCACAAACACCCAGAGGCGCCCCCAGACCCACTCACGCCTTCGGCTGCTTGAGGGCCATGGTGGGCACTGCGGGGGACCCCTGCCCACTCCTGGAGCAGCTGGAACAGCTGCTGCTGCCCCTGCACTGAAGCCCTGGCATCTCCTCTTGGCCCAACAGTTTTGATTCCCTGCTGCACACACAGGAATGTGGCATTTTTATCTCAGAAATAGCAGCTGCAGAGGAGCAGGAAGACTCATGGGTGGTGAGGAGACCATTTCTATGGGGCAGGGACATAGGGATATGGTTACAGGCCCAGGGACATCAGACCATAGCCACGGGTATGCAGCTTTTGGGGCTACCTGGCAATAGGAGTAAGGCCATGGTGATGCAGGTGAGGGATGTGCTGCTTCCCCTCTTGTGGTGTCACACACCCCAGAGGCACACCAGGATGTACACAGCCACTTGGCTTTCATATCCACATGATGGGGAAGGTTCTTCCTCCTCTTCCCTGGCTTGGAGAGCTGGGGGCCATTTTCACCTCTGCCTGAGCCAGTTGGTGGCTTCAGAGAGATCCTGGTGCTTCTGGCACACCAAAGCTCTCTGCACCTTCTCATTCCCTCTCCTGTCCCCACAGAGCTCCGTCTGCCCAGACCCAGCCTCTCAGTCCTGCCTGGGCACAAGGTGGCTCCGGGAGCTGACGTGATGTTCCGCTGCACCACCACGTACCCCAGCACCGGCTGTTACCTGTACCTGGAGGGCCAGATCCGAGCCCAGCTACTCCCCAGGGAACGAGGGGACTACAACCTCTCCCTCGTGCAGGAAGGTGACAGTGGCCGGTACAGCTGCCAGTGCTACACCTTCAATGCTTCGAGAGAATGGTCTGCTGCCAGCAACACCCTGCACTTGGTGGTGAGAGGTGAGACATCCGCCCAGCCACATCCTGCTCCGCTCTTCCTCCCTGCAATCTGTACATCCTGGGGGCACTAGAAAAGAGGATTTAGGGCAGGAAAGCAGCTGTATGAGGGGACCAAGGAGAGGGTTCCAGCTTCCTTCACCTGTGTTTGAGCCTGGCCAGCTCCTCAGGGACCCTATAGATGACCTAGAGACCCTATAGATACAGGGTTGCTGGGCTGATAGTTAAACTAAGAGAATAAGGTAAGATTCTGAAAGGGTAAGTGTCAGAGGAGACCTCTCCCTGCACTGGCCCAGAAAGTACCTGTGTCCTGGGCTGCATTCTCAGCAGCGTGGGCAGCATGGGAAGGAGGCGATTCAGCCACTGGTGGAGAGCAGCTCCCCCTGCCCAGGACACCTTCCCCACGTATCTGTGGCCTCGGGCTGTGGCAGGGCTGGGGCTGGACACTGACAGCTTGTGGAGAGCAGCTGAGCTATCCCTCAGGCTCACTGTTGGGGCAAAGTCACCAGTGCTTTGGAGGGAAAATGGGAAGAAAAAGGAGAAGGGAAAGGCAGCCCCATTTCTCACTGAACTTTGATCTCTGCTGTGCTCTTCACCCCTTTCTGAAGTAACTCCTATTACTTGTTGCAGGGAACACTTCTGCCCTCAAGAAGGGAAATTGTCTAAGAGCTTGCAGTAGCATTACTGTGCCAGTGAAAATGAGTACAATTTTCTTCTGGAAAACATTTTATTAAAAAAATTTAAATGCCTGTTCCTAGGAGATGCTTGCTAATGCAAACACCACAAACTGTTATGTTACTTTAATTGCTTGTAGAGCAGTCTTTGTGTCCTTTTATTTTAAGTAGCTGCTTTTGGACAGATGTCACCCACAAGTCTTACTGGTCAAGTATTATTCTTTTTTTGTTCGGGCTTCATTCTCCATGCATCATTCTCTCTCCTTACCTGTGTTGCTGTTCTCATATATTCATATTTTGGTCCTAGAAATCACCTACTTCATGAAATAATGTTTCAAAGATCCTAATCCTTAACATAAGGTGAGGTTTGACATGAGATAAATGTGAAACCAACCAATGTTCAAGGCAGGGAGTACCCCTGCCCTGAGGAGTTGATTCCATTTCTCACATCCATGAGCTCTCTGTCTTAGGAGAAATCATTCCATTCAAATGGAGACCAGAGATGCTGTTACCTTAGGTCATCATTGCTTCTGGCAGGTCTGGCTCTTGGGTACTCTGGCTGTCTCTCCAGAGACTGATGGCCCAGGGATGTCAGTGCTGAGTTCAGGTTCAGAGACCGATCCAGCTTCCGAGCCTCTTCTTCCAGAACAGCAGCTCTGGGCTCTTTGAGCACAGCAGCAAAGGAGCAGGACAGTTCCTCATGAAGGTCTGACAGCTCCTGGCTGGTCCTTGCACAGCTCTCAGTGTAGTTCTGCCAGTGCTGTCGGTCTTGGGCCAGCTGTGCCTGCAGCAGGGACACCTGAAAGAGGCACAAGGCCCGGCTCAGACAAGCCCACGCTGGCAGGAGCAGCTGCAGCCCCACGGTACCGGCTCCCGGGGCAGACACAGCCTCCAGCTCCAGCCCTCACCAACACTCTGTCCTGGGGCAAGGGGAAAGGAACAGGCTCCCAGACAGAACAGAGCTCAGATGAGCAACAAGTCCAGTTCAAGGCTGGCAAAGCCTTCCCACATACATCCCTCTGCCACCACAGGTCTGTTAGAGAGAGTTCTGAGGGGATTTAGGAACCCAACTCTGATTTCCAAAGCACACATTTGGGCCATGGAGACCTTTCTCCACAGGCTGTGTCTCAGCATGAGGGCTGCTGCTCCCTTGAGTTCCTGGAGGACTCTTCTACTTGAGCTGCTGGGACAGGCAGCTGAGGGACAGGGAGCAAACTCTCCCTCTTGTAAACTTCAGAGCATTCCAGACAGGAGTAGAGGACAATGTGGACAACTAAGCCAAATGGAATAATAAGCCTCTGGCATTGCCTCAGGTCCCTGCATTTCTGCTAAAATGCAAGCTCCACTGTTACAGAGTCAAGGGAAAATAGAAACAGGCAACAAAGGAGAACATCCTGGTCCAGACTGCCCAGGGAAGTAGTGGAATCACTGTCCCTGGAAGTACTCAGAAAACGTGTGGCTGTGGCACTTCAGGCCATGGTAGTGTTGGGATTGACCATGCTGGTTTAATAGTTGGATTAGATTATTTGAAAGGGCTTTTTCAACCTTAAGCATTTTATGATTCTATGATTCTGATATTTTCAGGTGGCTTCCAGTGTTCTGAATTTCATTCCATCTCTCTCTCCCACCACCTGATTTTAGACAGATCAGAGATAAGACCAAGGTAAAGGATGTTTGGTTGCTGCCAACAGATGCACAACTGACAACACATGCAGTACTCACTTCCTGAGCGCTGAACACAACTCAGGCTGTAGCAGCATGCACAGCTGTGGCCATGAGTACAGACACAGCAACCTTTGATGAAAGTTTACCTACTCCTCACCTGGTTCTGTAATTCAACTAAGCGCTGACTGCAGTGAGCATGAGACTCCTCCTGTGAAGAAAATGAAAGGATGTTTTTTCAGTCTGTTTGGTCACAGCCACAGGCAATATTCAACTTCTATTAGGTCTGTACTGGAGGGCTGCTCCCACTGGGATTTCCCATCACTCCTCTGTATGACCAAAGCCTCCTCATACCAAGGAACATGTTGTTCTCACCTGTCCAGAAGCAGGCAACTTGCACTGGTCAGACTCAGAGAGAGAAAATCCAGAGGCATCTGGGAATAACCGACCCCTAAAACATCTCTTCAGTTTCCTCCGTTCATGTTCCACCTGCACATTGGATGGGAGAGAGGATCACAGAAACCTGTCAGGAAACATGGCACAAAAGGATCCCTGGGCATCATGGCAAGGAGATCTCTGCTCTGAGACCTCAAATTGCACTAGACAACACTGAGGGCAAAAAGCTCTCACTGGGGGCTGTGCAAGAGAGGCCAGTGTGTGTGCAGGGACACAGGGCCAGGGGGGGAGGCAGTGGAGTGAAGGTGCCCTTGTGAAAGCCATGGGCTGCCCAAGAGAGGGAACAAACAAAAGGGTGAGCCCACAGCAGGGACAGGGAGAGGCAAGGAAACAAGCAGAGGTCTCCAAAGCACTGCCTGGGCTGAGGTGCCAAGTTCCAGATGAGCCTGAGGCTCTGCAGCGGCAGCAAAAGCTCAATTTACCTGCTCAAGAGTCCTCCTGAGTTCAGTGTTTTGTTGCTTGAGCTCCACCTTATCATCTTCCAGCTTTGCAACTGCTCGCTGCAGACATTCCAGGCTCTGCAACATGAGTCTCTTCTCTGACAGCCATGACAGCTGCTCCCCTTCAGCAACAGCCTGCTGGGCATTCAGAGAGGAGATTCCATGAGCTGGTGCCACATAAATGTTAGAAGGGTGCCAGAATCAATATACGGTGGAGAGTGACCACAGCAGGAACGGACAGTGTTAAGGTCCTTCTTCTTCTCCTTGTCCATAGGCCAAAACAACACACACTCTCTCTCTAGGGCCCCTCCACCAAATCCCCTTGGAGAATTGAGTACTTTGTTCTGGATCTGCTTCCTGCTAGTTTTGTTTTCAGTGTTCCCCATTCTGGTTTTGAGAGACTGGAAGCATTAATTTCGTATCCAGACACTTCATAGTTTTACAAAGCTCTGTAATGTCTCTACCTCTCTCTCAGCCATTTCTTGTCAGTTGTAAATACTTAAACTTTACTCCCCTTGGGGAAGTTAATTACCATCTTTGGTCATCCTCTTTGATCATCACTAAATTCTCCTACCTACAGTTCTACTCTCTGTCCTTAGACAACCAAACATGCAAGATGTTGGTGAAGCATACATTTTTGCAGTGATAAAACACTACAGTTTTTTCTCTATTCTCTTTACCTGTTACATCCTCATACAGAACTGCTTTTTGAAAATACCATGTTATCAATCAGGCAATAAGCATTGCTTGAAACTTAGTCAGGAGCCACCTCCTCCTCCTTTGTGCTTTTCTTAATGAACTGCTCCTTGGAGCACCTATAAATGCAGTCTTGGTATCAGCAGTAAATCAATCTGTATGGATGCCACTGCATTACCTGACTGAACCTTCCTGCATACCTGACCTACATGGATGTAACTGAAACCTCATGCTCTTTTCACATTTCTTGCTCTTGTCACATCTTTACTTCCCATCAACAGATCTCAATATGTGACAGCATTCCCGGATCAGACTGCAAGTAATATTTCTCAAGCCATAAGTAACCTGACCAGGCAATAAAAGAAATCCCATTCCTTTAATACACTGGAAAAGTTGTTGCTCAGAAATCTCCATCTCAGGAAGCATCCTCGAAACAGTGCAGCTGCTCTTCAGCTCTTGGTAAAAAACTCTGCTCAGTTTAGTTCATCACTCTGCTCATCTGCTCCATTATTTCCCACACCACATCCAAACCCCCATATGTTGCATGGGCATAGGAGAAGCAGCTCCCCATGCCCAGCTTTTGGCCTGGATCTGATCTGAGCAGCAAGCTCCAGAGCTGGATCAGTCATTCTGGGCGAGCCAGGAAACAATCTGGCAGTCAGTGGCCTCTGGCTGGAGCCAGGCAGACAGACAAGGCTGCCTGCTGCAGCCCGGGCTGCTTTACCCAAGCAGGCCTGGAGTGACGGGGATAGAGACCCACCTCTTCATAGGGAGAAGCACTGGAATAGTTCAGGGACACTGGGGTTGACTGAAGATAAATGCCAGTGCCTACCTGTTGATGAAATAGGTCTGTGTCTCTCTCTGAAATCATTCTCTGCAGGATGGTTATTTCTTTCTTCAGATTCCCATTGGCCATTTCACTCTTGCTCAGTGCAGCACTCATGACTTGAGCGTTCTCTCTCCATTCATGTTCTCTGTTTTCTCTCTGCTTCAAAGCAGCAGCCACATATGCCAACTCTTCATCATTGGCTTCCCTCTCAGCTTCCAACTGTTGGGTAATTTCCTTCTGTCTTTGCAAGAGATGGTCTCTCACCTGGAGAATTTTCCTCTTCTCTACTTCTTCCTCCTCCCATTTTTGGTGTTTTTGAATTTGTTTCTTTTGGGTTTCCCCTTCATCTTTCCATTGTAAAGCCAATGTTAATTCTTTCAGGAGCTCACTCTGCCTCCTAAGCTCTTGTTCTCTCTCTATCAGAGTCTTCTTTAAATACTTGATTCTGTCTGTCTGGTCCTTGATCTCTTTATCCTTCTTTGTCAGAGTCTGCTGAACATGCTGGAGATCTTCCCGAAGAGCTCTTATTTCCACTTCTAACTGCTTTTGCTCACTTTGAGCCATGATCTCTTCTTCTCTCTCAGGGAAGGTTTCTTTCAGGGGTTCTTGCTCTTCATCATGTCTAACCTCTTCATTCTTCTCAGTTAGCCTAAGCTGGGGATTCTGCAAAGTCTTTAGTTCTTCTTCTACATGCTGGAGTTTTTGCCTAAGAGTGTCATTGTCCTCATCTTTCTTCCTCATCACTTCCTCAAATAGAGTCACTTGCTTCTGGCATGATGTTAGTGCTACTTTCATGCTTTCTTCACGAAGCTGGAACGTGTTAATTTGCTCTGTCTGCTTGAGGAACTCCAAATTGATCTTCTTCAACATCTGCCTTGCTTTGTCTAGATCCTGCTCTAGACTTTTGGCCTGCTTGCCTGCCACCTCCTTCTGCTCTCGTAGGTCCTGGACATGCACTTGCAAAGATACTATCTCTTGATGTCTAGCTTCAAGAGAAGATTCAGCGTATTCTAGTTTTTGCAGTATGGCTTTAGTGTGCACCGCTGTTTCTTCCTTCTGCTGTTGAAGCTTTGTGATGGCGTCCTCCAGAACACAAATCTTGTCTTCTTTTTCTTTCAGAGTCAGATTTGTTGCTTGGAAATGTCTTTGCTCGGCTTCATGCTTTTCCACCTTTTCCTTGCATGCCTCACATTGCTTTCTAAGGGACAAAATTTCCTGCTCTTTTTCCTTTAGTTCCACTTGAATACACTGCAGAATTTGTTTCTGCTGTTCAGAGTCTTGCTTTTGTTTTTGGAAGGTCTCAATCAGTTCCTTCTGAGATTCAATCATTAAATCCTTTTCTTTCAATATTGTCCTATAGTATTCTAAGTCTCTGTGCAAGACATTAATCTGTTCCTCTTTTTTTTCCTCATAGCTCCTTGTTTGTTGCTTTTGGATGTCCATAAGTCTTTCTTTTTCTTTTAAGGTTGCTAAGGTCTGCTCCAGTTGGTCACGGACAGTCTTTAACTGCATTTCCATGACTTCTTCAACTTCCTGCGTTTGCTTTTGTTGTGACTCAAGCTCTTGATCTTTCTTAGATAAAGAAAGTGTCATGATTTCTACTTCACCAAGAAGCTCTTGCAGATGCCTGTCTTGCTGCTCCTTGTGCTGCTGCAAGAGCCTTAACTCTTCCCTTTGAGTGTCACACTCACTCTCTCTGTCCTTAAGAACAGTCCTGAGGTGTTCAAGGCTAGCATTTAGAGATTTCACATCTTCTCTCTCTTTTTCCAGTTCTTGAATCTGTTGAGTTAGAGAAAGAAGCTCCAACTTTTTCTCCTTCAGGTTTCCTTTCATATCATCAAGATCCACAAGCAGATTTCTGACTTGTACTGCACCATGCTGTTCTAGAATCATTATTTTCTCCTCCTGGAATTTGATCTCCAGGTGTCTCTCCTCCAGCTCTTTGCTTACCCTGCTGACAGCAGAGTTCTGCAATTCTAATTGCTTCTCCAGCTCCCTTATCAGTTCTTGCTGGGATCTGATCTCTTGGTCCTTCTCTTCCAGCTCTTGGCTCATTTTGCTTAAAATGATCCTCTGCTTTTCTTGCTGCTTCTCCAACTCCTGTATCTGTTCCTGTTGGGATTCTGTCTTCTGTTCTTTCTCGGTTATATCCTTAATAACCTGATTAAGAGCAGTTTTATGCATTTCTTTCTGCTTTTCCAACAGTCTCATCTGCTCTTGGTACAACTTCATTTCTCCCTCCCTCTCTGACAGGATGGCAGTCACACGAGTGAGATGCTCCTGCAAAGCGTTGGTCTCTGCTGCCTCTTTCTGAAGAATCTCCATTTTCTTCCCCTGGTTTTGCATTTCCTCATTTTTAATTTTTAACATGGACAGGGCAGTTTGGAGTTCTTGTTCAAGGGAGTGATTCTTGTCTATTGCTGTATTTGCTCGGGTTTCAGAGGCTGTGACTGATTCATTCAGAAGTTTTATTTCATACTCTAATTTTTCTTTATTTGACTGCAGTCT